CAGCTCTACCTACTCATAGGTCCTGGGTAAGTCCCTTACCATGCTGGAGGTTGAGGACAGGCATGAGATTTCTCTTTGGACTTGACCACAAATACAGAATTTGGAGTACTGGGGACTAATGTTCACCTTCTCCCCCTGCCCCCATCCTGCCACCTCTAGGGTACTTAGGGATATGCCTCTGGTAACTATCACCTTGTTTGTCTTCCTTCTCAGGCTGAACAACTATCTGGGCTGTCAGGTCTGTTTCAGCTAGAGAAACCATCTAATGTGTATCAACTTGGAGTGTATAAAGAAAGAGTGCCTCAGTAGACTTGAAATAGCCTGTAGGGAAGAAAACTGATATCTGCTATGTGCCTGGTGCTTTATCTCTTATAATATTTCTCATTTTATAAATGAAGAAATAGGTTGAGAGGAGGTGGGTGACTGGCCCAAGTTAGTTCAAGTTGTGAGTGACAGGATGTAAGTGTAGGTCTCTGACTTCAAAGCCTGGGCTCTTCTCACTTTATCAGGCCTCCTCAGTCTCTGAACGATTGACCCTTGTGGTCAGATAATTCTTTGTTGTAGGAACTGTCCTGCACATTGGTAGGATGTTTAGCATCATACCTGACCGCTGCCCAGTAGATAACTGTAGCAAGATCCCACTTGAAACAATGAAAAATGTCTCTGTGCATTGCCAGATGTTTCCTAGGGGGTCAAACTTGACTGCTTTCTTATGTATATTTCCTCTGGTTTAAGCAGATGATTTACTTTTGAGAGGTGTATGCTAAATGTGTAATTAAGCCAGTGTTCAGAATTGAAGGGGTTAAGGAACTCGTCCACCAAGGTCACCTAGCCAAAGTATTTGAATATCAATAATTGAAATCATCAGTTTATAAAATCTGGATTACCACCTGCCCAAACCAAGTAATTGATCAAGTGTTGAAATATTTATTATGATGCTTTTTCGATTTTCTTTTCTTCTTGAAGATCTACCAAGGATTCCTCGTGTTTCACAGTAGTTCTCAACAACCTCCGTGTGTTCGTCATATTTGACTGGCTGCTGTCAGTCCATGATTTCCTCCACACTCCCAGCGACATGAAGAAACCAAATGCTGCTGCGCCTCCTCGCCACCGTCACTCCAGCAGCGAAACTGCTGTCGTTCCCAAGACAGTGAAGAGTGGGGTAGTTACCAAGCGGTCTTCCCTTCCGATGCCCGCTGAAAGGCACCTGGAGGTCAAGGTCAATGTAACAGGTGAGTAGCTACAAGTGTGATTCATTGATTCTTGATTTGGATGTTAGGTTCAATATGTGTCTCACAGAATGACTTCTCTATTGCCTCTCAGTTTGGGGCATAGCACTTATGAGGGGGCTTTCCAAAGTTCGTGGAAAAATGGAAAGAAACGTCAATGGAGTTTTCCATTAGCCTTTTGAAGCCCTCTCACAAGCATTTGCATCTTTTACAGACCAACAGATGTCCAAGTTCTTGAGTTCTGTTTTCAGCTACGAACTGCTTGACCCACACTGAAGGCTGTAGGACCACTTGTCCTCCTCAGCCAGCAAGGGGCTTCAGAAATTTTCTGAAAAAATGCCATTATCTTTTCATTCCGTTTTCCTATGAATGCTTTGAAACCCCTTTGTAGTTCATGTGTTTGGTCTTAGCACTCTTTTGGGCACCCAAGTGGGTGCCTACCTAGGCAGTGTGGTTGTTTTTTTTTTTCTCTCAATGTTTAAATCTGGCTTTAATTTTCGTTTTGATATTTAGAGTCCCAACAGATGTGCTTTACTGAATTTAGGCAAATTTATTACAGACTGTCCCTGGGTTACAAATGTCAGGCTTAAGTACAGCCTGTGGTTATGAACCAACCCCTAACGCTTATTATATTAAAAACTCAAGGTATATAGGATGATTTGTAATAACAAACAGGGGCTACTTGGAGCTGTGCTTCAAAATATTATTATTGTTACTGTATTACTAACCGTTCCAACTTAGGAACATATTCAACTTAAAGACAGATTTAGGAGCAGAACCTCGTTTGTAATCCATGGACTTGCCTATATGAAACTCTGAGTTTAGAAGATTGTTGTTGTGAAGTGCCGTCGAGTCAGTTCCGACTCATAGTGACCTTGAATAGGGTTTCCAAGGAGCAGTTGGTGGGTTTGAACTGCCAATTTTGTGGTCTGCAGTCCAGTGCTGAATCTACACCACACCAAGAGTCCAGGTTAGAAGATAAGTGAGGAGATTGAAGGGCTTTGAACCAGTTCAACTCTGGTTTGACCCCTGGGGAGAATTTGCATTTTTACTCCAGGTATCAGAATCTACTTTTTAAACAAGATCCCAGGTGATTCTTACATATGTCTATGAGGATCGTGTTAAAGTATAGAGTGTGATTCAGTATATATGGCATGGAAATGCAAATTCTCTACAGGGGGCAAACTGGAATGAATCAGTTTGAAGTCCTGGGGGATTGTCACTTCCTTTACAAAAAGAATACATGTAGTCCCTTGGTTCAGAATGAATTCCATTCCTAAATCTGTCTTTAAGCTGAATTTGTACGTAAATTGCAACAGTTAGGTGGTACCCATTGTGTCTAATGTTTGTTACCCAAATATTTGTCTTTCTGTGTATTTTGTTTGTTGTTAAGTGCTATCAAGTCGGTTCCGATGATAGCAGCCCTGTATAGGATTTCTGAGGAGTTGTGGCTAGTGGGTTTGAACTGCTGACCTTGTGGTTAGTAGTCCAGTGCTTATCTTACAGTGCCACACCAGGATCCCCTTCTGTGCCTAAATAGTGTTAAGGAAGTGCTTCCAGACATGCTAGAACATCTTTAACATAGTAATATAGTAATACTACTAATAATGGGCCTAGAAATGGTTTGTGGCAGCTTGGAGTTTTCCAGCTTTTTCCCTTCAGCTTGAGTGACAATGCTGTCCTTTCCAGGCACAGAGTTTGTGGTGGTTGAAGATGTGTCCTGCTTAGATACCAATGCCATTATTCTGAAAGGTACCACAGTACTCACCTATAAGCCCCGATTTGTCGATCGCCCTTTCTCCGGAAGTTTGTTTGGCATTGAGGTAAGGAGTCTGTGTGTTGAATGAAATACTGCGTGTTTGATCTGGAAGAGCACTTTGCCTTCTGAACTGTCGTTGTTGTTGTTGTTAAGTGCCTTCAAGTCGGTTCTGACTCCTAGTGACACTGTATAGGGCTTCCAAGGAGTGGCTGGTGTATTTGAACCGCTGACCATGTGGTCCAGTGCATTATCCCACAGTGCCACACCAGGACTCGAACTTTCTTTAGGGGAAGTAATTCATGGCATTGGTAGATCCTTGGCCTCTGCTCAAGGAGCCCTGGTAGCATTATGAGTTAGGAATTGGACTGCTAACTGCAAGGTCATCTGTGTAAACCCATCAACTGCTCCACATGAGAAAGATGAGACTGTCTGCCCCCATGAAGAGTCATAGTCTCAAATTCACAATAAAAGTGAAAAAAATTATAGTCTCTGAAACCCTATGGGGCAGTTTTGCTTTGTCCTATAGGGTCTCTCTGCATTGGAATCAACTCGATGGCAGTGGGTTTGAGTTTGGTGTTTGGCCTCTGTTCATCTTTGTTTTCTCCTCAAATCTGCCAGGTTATTCTGATGTGTGTTCTTAGGCTATAAATAATGCAGAAGGACATTGCCTTTTACTGTTACTCTCTCCTACTCATGAGACTCTAGGTGACTCTTCCATCTCCATGACTCTGTGAGGCGTCTTGCTGTTCCTCTTCTTCTGCACGACTGTTAGTTGTTGTTGTTGTTTTTGTTGTTGTTAAGTGCCCTTGAGTCAGTTATGACTCACAGCAACCCAATATAGGGTTCCCAAGGAGTGGCTGTTGGGTTTGAACTGTCGACCTTGAAGTTAGTTAGCAGTCCAGTGCTTGTCCTGCTGTGCCATGCCAGGACTCCTTGGCAGATTTGTAAAGGTTGAGGAACTTTTCTTCCCTTCTTCATAGCCAGTGCTTGTCCCTAGGAAAAGCTAAGGCTTCCTGGAAATGGAAGCATGTTTATAAACGGTGTTAAGGATTTTAAGTGTTGTCCTTGTAGCCCTAGAAGGGTGGGGTGTCTCAAGAGCACTATACACAACATAGAGGAGTGAATCACTAAGAGTGACGCTGTCGGCTCTGCTGTAATCTCATGAAGAGGTCTTTGGCTGAGTGCCTTTGCCGCCTAGATAGTGGGCTGTATGCCATAAACCAAAAATCCTGCTGTCTCCTTTTAAGCTATGTGTTGTAGAGACAGAGGTGAAACAAGAAAGGTGAGTGTTTCTATCAAATGTTCTTAATTCTCTTAACTACCATTCCTCATTTATCATATTAGAATATTTGGTCAGGGCTAGCGGGTGGCTGCTTGTCACTCTTGTCTCCTTTCTGGTTGAACTTTTTAAGCCCTCTTCTTTGCAGGGGTAATGCTCAGAGACTCAATACCACTTACTTTCACTCTCAGCTATAGATGAGTAAAACATGTAGAGATCTCACTTGTCAACTACTTGTTTTCCTCCTGGAGAGAAATCTCCACTTGAGAGGGGGCATTTGCATGCTGGTATAGTGTGAGTTGCAATTCATCTGCGTTCCAAGCAACTACAATACCGGCTTTGAATGGAAAATCTTGGTGATTGATGAATGAACTGCCAGGTACAATTGGGTTTTGTGTAGCAGAAGCCCCTAAAGGAAAAAGGGAAATGAAACTTTTCTGCTCCAAAGTCATAGAAAAACTATGTGGCAAAATATTTGAGATTCCTGGAGGCTTGTTTCTTCAGCAGCACAGTTGGATCCGAATTTTAAGACCTCCTTGCTCCATTGTTGGGCAAGAATTTATAAAGAAAGCATAATGTGCTAATGTCGGTTATCACAAAGGACCATGGTGTCAACGTGTTTTTCAGTAGTGCTAGAAATTGCCAAATAGACAAGAAGAAAAGGGTGGGCTAGGGAGGGAAAGCCAGGCAAGGGAGACCAGAGTGAATGCTCTCTCTTCTCTTTGTACTCCTTGTGAGCATGTAGAGCAGTCTGGTTCTAGAATGACGGCCCTTGCTTCTTTCCTTCCATCTTCTCTCTCCCAAAAAATATATCTAGTCATTTTTAAGCTTTTTGTCATAGAAAATTCATTATATACAAAATAAGCAGAAAAGTAGAAAAGTCCACCACTGGTCTGACAAGTTGTCGTACTGCACTGCCTTGAATGTTATTGTGATGTTAGAAGCTATGCCATCGGTATTTCAGATGCCGGCAGGATCATCTGTGGGGGGCAGGCTTCAGGAGAGCTTCCAGGCTAAGACAGACTAGGAGGAAAAATTTAGCAGTCTACTTAAAAAAAAATCTCCAGTGAAAACCTTATGGAAAGCAGCGGACTATTGTCTGACATATTGCCTGTAGATAAGCCTCTCTGGTTGCACAACAATCCAAACACAATGGGACCAAGATTTCAAATGATGGCTCAAGAAGACCTAGTAAGGAAATGTGTAAAGACCTGGAGTTAGGAAACCAAAAGGGAAAAACATGCTGGGCTTTTCTCATGCAGAAGGAACTGAAGAGAAAAATCAATGCCTTGAATTACAGTATCGAAGGATTGTACTGGCAAATATTGAACAATGTAGGAAGCATCAAAAGTAGATGGAAGTAATATACAAGTCACTATTCTGAAAATAAGGAGCTCTGGTAGCATAGTGGTTGAGAGTCAGGTTGCTAACTGCAAGGTCAGCAGTTCGAAACTACCAACAGTTCCGCGGGAGAAAGATGAGGCGTTCTGCTCCCATAAAGATTTACAGCCTCGGAAACCCTGTACAGGGTCACTATGAGTCGGAATCGACTCTACGGTACTTAACAACAACAACAATATTAAAAATAATTGGACAACATTCAGTCATTTCTGGAGGTAGCATATAATCAAGAACCTATAACACTGAAGGAAGAAGGTCAAGGTGCACTGAAATCAAGCCTATAAGAATTCATGGAACGCCCATTGAAATGTTAACAAATGGATGCAGAACTAGAGGTGCTCACTGATGTGTCTAGACAAAGAAATTTGGAAGTCAGTTACCTGACCAGCCGACCAGAAGAGATCCATGTTTGTGCTCATATCAAAGAAAGGTGATCCAAATAAGTATGCAATATTTAATGCCTCCCTTCCTTCTAGAAACAGACAGTGAAAATTATTAGTATAACACACAAATGACATTTTACTGAAGTTAATTAAAAAAACTCTTTGTCACCCTACATTGATAGGAAACTGCCAGAAATTCAAGCCAGATTCAGAAAAGGGTTGGAATGAGGAATATCATTGCTCATGTCAAATAGAACTTGGCTGAAGGCAGAGAATATCAGAAAGATGTCTACCTGTGTTTTATTGACTATGCAAAGGCATTTGAGTGTGAGGATCATAATAAATTATAAATAACATTGAGAAGAATGGGAATTCCAGCACATGAAATTGTATTACTGTGAAACCTGTACATGGATCAAGAGTTAGTCATTCAAACAGAACAAGGGACCATGGAATTGTTTTCAATCAGGAAGGGTGTGTGTCAAGATTGTTTCCTTTATTTTAATGTGTCCAATCTGTATGCTGAGCAAATAATTCAAGAAGCTGGATTATATGAAGAACATGGCATCAGGATTGAACTCATGAACAAACCTACAGTAATGCAGATGACACAAACTTGTTGAAAGTGAAGAGGGCTTAAAGTACTTACTGATGAAGATCAAAGATGACAGCCTTCAGTATGAATTGCACCTCAATGTAAAGAAAGCAAAATCCCCACAACTGTGCCAACAATAAACAACATCACGATACATAGAAAAAAAGATTGAAATTATGGAGGATTTCATTTTACGTGGATCCACAATCAGCACCCATGGAAGCAATAGTCTGCATTGGGCAGATCTGCAGCAAAACAACTCTTTAAAATGTTCAAAAGCAAAGATGCTACTTTGAGGTCTAAAGTGCGTTTTGACACAGCCATGGTATTTTCATTTGCCTCATATCCATGGGAGAGCTGGGCAGTGAATAAGGGAGACCCAAAGAAGAATCAGTGCATTTGAATTATGGTGTTGGCGAAGAATATTGAAACTACCGCAGACTGCCACAAGAACAAACAAATCTGTTTTGGAAGACGTATAGTCAGATGTCCCTTAGAAGTGAGATTAGTGAGACTTTGTCTTTTGTACTTTGCATATGCTGTCAGGGAGGTCTATGCTTGGGACAGCGGAGGGCCAGCAGAAAAGAGGAAGATGCTCAAAGACATGGATTGATATCATGGCTGCCACAATGAGCTCAAACATAGCAGTGTTTGTGAGGATGGTGCAGGACCTGGTGTGTTCTGTTGTACATAGAGTTGCTATGAGTCAGAACCACCTCAAAGGCACCTAAGAAAAACAGTCACAAACAGAATGATATAAAGAACTCTTAGGTACCCATCACCCAGCTTCAAATAATTAATGTTTTTGTTTATGAAAGTAACAACCATATTCCTTAAAATTGGGAGGAGTGTAGGGGAAAAGTCACCTTTCCTACCAAGCATAATCTCTAGTGACATTTTGATGTGTTTCTTGGCATGATACTATTTTGATTAGGCCACATTTCCACATAATCTGTGTTGTAACTCCCTTCCCATATTCCATATGGTCTTTTAAAATATTTTTAAATGGCTACAAAACACTGCATTGAATAAATGTGATGTATAACCTTGGCTGTTTCTACTTTTTAATTTTTTTAAACTATTGAATAGTGGTCCAGTGAATGTTTCCATATTTCCCATTTGTGTGTGTGTGTGTGATCTGAATGAAAGCTTCCAGAGCAGGTTAGTTTTCCACGTAACTATTCATGCATGTTTTGTTTCATAACATTGATTGCCGTCTCCACACTGTAATAGCACTCATCCACTCCCTCCATTTCCATCCGCCCTTACTGTCCCTTCCTCCTTCCATACTGTGTCTCTGGCAGATGTGGTGCCCTTTTGATCTCATATGGTTGGTTACTCTAAGGGGTGTAGCCTCCTTGCTGTCACTGTTCACTTACAGGCCTGTCTGTTGTGTGGCTGAGATTTGAGCTATGGGGTTCACATGATTTTCCTTAGACCATCTCCTAGAGTAGAACTCTAGGGTGTGAGACTTTTGAGCTTCTTGACGTTGTTGTTATTAGGTGCCGACGTACTGAATCGGTTCCAACTCATGTCAGCCCTGTGCACAACAGAATGGAACACTGCCTGGTCCTGTGCCCCTCCTCAATTGTCATAAGTGTCTTGATACATATTGCTAACGTACCTCTTCTAGAGGGGAGCCACTATACATGTGTTTGGGAGCGGGTGACATTTGCCACTTCATCTTCGCAATGTTTATTTCAACACTTATGATTCTGACTCTTGCTAAATCAGACATTAATCCTTGCCATATTTCATTTCATTTTCTAGGTGTTTTCATGCCGACTAGGGAATGAGCAGGATACAGCTCTTTCAATTGTTGATCCAGTACAAATTCAAGTGGAGCTGGTGGGAAATTCTTCTTATCAGAATAGTTCGGGATTGATGGATGCATTCAATAGTGAAGATTTCCCACCTATCTTAGAGGTAACATTGAAAAACGATGTGATATCCTGATAAACTCACATTGTCACTTGCAGGCATTACGTCTTTCCTCTGAGACTGACCACATTTAACTCCTCAGCAAATGAAACATGACCTAGTCTCTGTCTTAGGACATCTTGCAGTCTTGTAGAGGATAAAAGATATTCTAGTTATATGGTATAGTTTCCAAGATTTGTAAAAATTTGCAGAAAGCATAAATCAACATAAGTAGCAATATCGATTGTGAGTGGAACTCAAGGTAAGGTGAGACCAGGAGGAAGGGTAGGCTTACAACTAACCTGAGAGGAAGAGGGAGAGCATTCCACATTATGGAGAAGCAAAGCCAGGGCCAACATGGCTCGGTATACATGGAGCAGGGTAAAGTCTGACTGGGACAATGACATTTGTAAGGAGGTAAGAAGGATGTTAGTTGAGGCAAGGCAGATGAAATCTGGAGAAGAGGTATTAAGAATTTAGGGTTTTATAGTTATGTGGATAGAATCATAGTTAGAAAGAAAAGTCAATCTGAGTTTTGGTCTGAGGGCTTCCTTAGTAAAAAAGAAATAAATAACGCACTGTATGCAAATAGCCAAGTAGCAGCCATTTTCAGCGTAAGTGATTACACTGCCTTTACCAATATTAAGTCAACTGCTAGTCTCTGAAAAAGACTGAATTCCAGGGAATGTTAGTGTGAAACTAGCCTCACACTAGAGTTTTATTTGAACAAAGAGAGAAGACATTTTGTTGGTTGGTTGGATGATTTTGAGATTTAAAATATGAAATAGATCAGAGGAAAATAGATGAATAAGATGTTACTAATCAGGGGTCCGGTCTACCCCAGAGCCATTCTCTGATCCTGCACTTTAATACTTTAATGCACGCCATCCCAATGAAACATTAATTGACTCTAGTGATTTTCCCAGCCTTGTATTTTTTATTTGGTGAAGTTTTGTGATTATTTGAACTCATAGATGAGACATCTGGCCCCATGTTTATTAGTGCTTTAATTTCAAGATCTTTGCAATCTTCAAAATGAGAAATTTGGTGTAGTGTCACATAAACATAACAGAATTAGAATTTGAAAAAAGAATTATATCTGTAAGAGATGCAGAAGCAAAACCAAATACAACTGAAAAGAGAAAACTGACCACCTTTTAAATTTTATTAGATTCAGTTACAAGCTCTGGATATCAGACTCTCCTATAATGATGTTCAACTGTTTCTTGCCATTGCAAAATCCATCCCGGAGCAAGCTAATGCTGCCGTGCCAGACTCGGTGGCCTTGGAGGCCGAATCCGTTAGCAGTCACCTTCCTGGTGTGTCTCTTACCAACGAAGAAGTCAGAGAAGGAACAAGGCGTACCTTAGATCCTGTCTTGGGTAGGTGTTTTGCTATAAAACCCACTCAGTCTTCCTTTTTAACTTTTAACTTTCCTTTTTGTCCAGTTAAATTGTTCAGCGTTTAGTTGTATGTCATCAAGTATAATTGTGGAGACCTGGTGTGGCTCTCTAAGATAAACACTGGACTACTAACCACAAGGTGGGTGGTTCAAACCCAGCAGGCGCTTCTCAGAAACCCTATATAGGGTCACTATGAGTCAGAACCGGCTCCACAGCACTTCACAACAACAGCAACAAGTGTGACTGTAAATCACAAATATGACTATTTTTTGTTTTTTAATCCAGAAACCAACAAACCACTGCAAACCAGTTGGTCTGTTCTGTGCAGTTTTTCTTCTTACAAGTTCTTCCAAACATATGATAATGCTATGGTTTATTTTAGATTTTAGAAGATATGTGGATAATACTAAGTATCAGCTTTAAGCCTTTTTAAACAGCAATCAGTATCAGGGAAAGATTCTTAAAATGAGGGCATACTAGGTTGTTGTTTTTGTTAAGCTCCGCTGAGTTGGTTCTGACCCATAGCGTCCCTGTATAGGGTTTCTAAGGAGCAGCTGGTGGGTTTGAACTGCCAACCTTGACGTTCAAACTGACCTTGCAGTCCAGCGCATTATCCCACAGTACCACACGAGAAGTCTCTAATTAATTCAGAACCCATTTCTGACTGCAGAAATGAAGTGTTACAAGGTGCTGAAAAATTTCCTCAAAAATTTGTCTGAGGAATAATTTGGAAAATCATTTATAAAGACTATGTATTTTGTTTTCCCCTCCAGAGTTACAACTAGCTAGACTCCAGGAGCTGGGCTTCAGCATGGATGATTGTCGAAAAGCTCTTTTGTTGTGTCAAGGTACTTTCACTGACGTTTTCCATTATTCATTGTTTATCCTGATAATATGCTTTCTTCTTATGTCTAACCCTATCCCCACAAGGTTCTTTAGAGAGGAGTTGGAGTGTATTTAGAAGATCCTTGTGTCTTCTGTGGGCTGAATATCATCTCGGACAATAATAATTTTTAGTGGTTATGAATGGACCCTGAAATTGGCCGCCTGGGTTCAGAGGCTTACTGTGCCATAAGTTAGCTGTTCACTAGTGATGTTGGATGCAAAATGGCCAATACGTGTCCAACATGCCAGACTTTGTTCCTATAATTTCTCACGCATTTCCTCCTCATACCAGTTCTGTAGGTGGGAGCTGTAGGACACAGACAGATTGGGCAATGTGCCCAAGATTCTACAGCTAATAAGCCCACTGAACACCTGACCAATGTGCCATGCTCGTGTTCTGCACACAAGCATCTGGTAATTTATAAATATGGGATTACAGGGTTTTTCTTTTCTTTTTTAGCTTTAGCATTCTCGTTTGTATCCAAGGGGCTATTGCTTAACAAATGTGCATCACACACATACAATTCCCATATTGTGCTCTGTTCTCAAAGAATATGTGATTTGCCTGAGAAGACAAATTATGCACATTAAGAAAGTTGAGGATATTTACAAAGTAGCACATCAACATTTGCAAAACTGCCTTGTTGTTAAGTGCCATTGAGTCGGTTTGCACTCATAGAGACCCTGTAGGAGTAACGGGTGGGTTCAAACCACCAGCCTTGTGCTTAGCAGCCCAGTGCTCATCCTATATTGCCAAAACAGGACTCTATGCAAAACTACACAGAGAAGATGAAATACTTTAGTGGCAAGTAGTCTAAGCACCTAGAATCAGCGCTTTCTCCTTTCCCCTTCTTGCCTGTCTTTCAACAGATGTCATAGTAGGAGAAGCGTGGTTTTCTGGATGCATTTTGAGTCAGATCATGAAAGATCTAGTCAATTTTAGCTAAAGATAGAAGTTAAGAGGACTTTGTATTATTATTTGCTTAAAAGCAGAATTCCTCTTCAGCTAGTTTTTGTCTTTCCTTTTCTTAGTCTGGGAATGCGTATGGGATGGAGGCTTTCTTGGGTTGCCCAATAGGTCCTATAGGGTATTGTGTCTGTGTTTGTTGTTGTGGGAACTGGCTGAACTGATCACTTTTTAATTTCTTTGAAGGCCAATTGAAAAAGGCAGCAACTTGGTTGTTTAAGCACGCTGAGCCTCTGAAGTCTCTTTCCTTGGCCTCTAACAGCCGAGCTAGCCAGGGCACTGTGTCAGCCCAGTTGCTCTCTGGAGTGGAGATTAAAGCGGAGAGCGTGTGCCTCTGTTTCATTGATGACTGCATGGATTGTGATGTTCCTCTCGCTGAGCTCACCTTTTCCCGTGAGTAGTTTCCTGATTATCAGATTCATCTTGGGATTGCTGAATCATTCAGGGCCTGTGGTTTACGTTATTCATTCTCCTTTTGAGTTTGTATGGGTGAAATTTAGATAATGAGTTTACATGTGCTTTTCATTATATATATTTTAAAGAAATATGTATTTATTTGCCATATGTGGCCTTCAGCGAACAGCGTGGAAATAATACATATTGTCATTGGTGAAATTTCTGTTATATTAACAACTCTGGCTAAGTAATTCCTTATCTCTTCATTTTGCGGATCTGCTTTCATCTCTAAGATTATAGTGAACCCTGTTACTAAAGGCATTTCAAAAATAAGCTAAAAAAATAATGCCCTGTCACATTCATCTCTTGAAAAGAAAAATTCAGAATCTTCCTAGAAAGCTCAAGGTCTCTTCATTAAGGCCAGGTAGGGGATGAAGCACTGTTCCTATGGGCATGGGCTTTAGTAAGGTGGGGAGCAGGCTGTAAGTTCTCTGTCATCAAGGTCAGTGCTTAGACTGCGGCTTCTGAAGAGAGTAAACTTGACGGTGCTGGTGCCCTGCTGCCCATTTTATGTTGACACCTTGCAGTCTCTTCTCCCTTCAAGTAAAATTTGGTTTGGCACTTTAATCCAGCCTTTGACCACTGTGGGCACTTCTTTCCCTGGCACTTGTAGGCACCACAAGGGCCACTTGATGAAAAGTAGCAAGTGGAATTCTGTCTGCTTTCACAAGCGTTTGTTCTGCAGAGACGATTTTGATTATTTTGTATTTTTCTGTGGTAATCTTATATTTTGTGCTAATCCTTATCAGGATACGAATGTTCTTACCACTGTGACTTCTTTTCAGGCAGCCAGGTAAAGCCTGCAGATGAAATCACTTTGTCATGCTCCCCCAGGTTTTGAGTAAACCTGGGTGCCAGAGCTCTGACTGGAGGTGGTGGTGGTGGTGTTGTGCCCAGGAGTCGGTTCTGACTCAGAGGGACCCTGCATAGCGTGTTGGAGGCTGTAAATCTTTATGGGAGCAGAAAGCCTCATCTTTCTCCTGCGGAACAGCTGGTAGTTTCGAACCGCTGACCTTGAGGTTAACAGCTCGACTCTTAACCAGTACACTACCAGAACTCCATCGCCTTGGGTACAATGTTAAAGGCAGTGCCAGTCAACTCAGTGACCAAGATAAATAATATTTTAACTCAATATTTTTTAAAAGAAAAACAGCCTCCAAAATAAAAAAAAAATCATGAACAAAATATACAAGTTTGTGTGTTTTCCTATGAGACCATGAATATTAGATATGACTAACATCTCTTTTTAAGCTTTAATGCAATTTGTCTGCAAAAGATACTTTTGGGTGTCCCTGCCCTGCTGTGGCACTAAGCTTGGCTTGCATTGCAGGTCTGAATTTTCTTCAGCATGTGAGAACAAGCCTTGAAGGTTACGCCCACTTCACCCTTTCTGGAGATTATTATAACCGCGCCCTGTCAGGTCAGTATACGGCATATATTCTTGTGAGATTTTAACAAGTTTAAATGATTGCTTGTGTCTGTAGCTGCACAAACTACATGAGGAAAAAGGGGTGGGGGTAAGATAGGGAAGGATGAAAAGAAAAGGGCCTGTAGAAACACAAAAGATCCCTTTTACATTTTTCTAAACATTTATCTGATAGGCTGTCATGGAATTATTGTAAAGGAACTTTTCACAGTTAACTTCTTTTTGATCCTGTAGTTTGACTCATTCCAGGACATAGAATTGCTCAATAGCAAAGGATTCTTTGTTCAGCCTGATTGGTGGTAGCTCAGTTTCCAGGAGATTTGTGCCCGATCAGCACCCTAAACTTTAGGTTTCCTTACACCCCCGATTGGGCTTCTTTCATTAGAAGTGTTCCGGCTCATTTCTCAAATTTAATATTCCCGACCTTCCCTGGAGGGCAAAGCACAGTTGTTAGAGCTAGGCATTTTTCAGAAGACATAAAATCGGGATATTCTGCAAACGTTTTTCCGGCCTCTTTCCTTCTATTGGAACGACCAAGGTGTGAGGTGCTATACAGGTTGACAGTCAGAAGTCATTATTGAACAGACCAAGCAGTTTGAGCTGTGAAGTTCTTTGCTTTCAGAAAACGTACAGAAATCCCCATCAGAATTCTTCAAAGGTATGGGGAGAGGAAACGGAGCTGTGCTGTGTAGTCTAAGGCTGATGCCTGAGTGAGCGCTCCCTTTGAGTTCAACAAGAAGTTCAGCCTGGTCTATTAGAGCTCATGCCACAACTCATTTCATATGTTAGTTAGCATTTCCCCTTTCTGTTCTGGATGCACTGAAAAGTAACACCCTTATTTCCTAATTGTTCAAAATGTTTAACTTCAAAATAATGACCCAGATCTTGCTGGTTGAGAGAAACTCTTGCAGGGCATATGGTAGCTGTTTTTCTGAGAATCATTTATTTTCTCAGACCGAGTATTGCTCCCTTTTAAAGTTGCATGAATGTATTCAGGCTACCAAGTGGTGGTGGATGTGATGAGGCTAGTCAGGCTCTTATTTTATGCTGGCCACCGGATTGGATTTGGGTGGGCAAATCAGCTCGTCTGTGACTGTGATTGAGAGGGTAATTTTTAATATTCATTAAAAGTTATTTCCTTTAAAAAGTGTAATAACATTTTCCACGCAACAGATTGTCAAGGATAAAGAGGGGCAATACTAACTATGAGTGAGGATAGGAGCCATAGCACTCTTGTTTGCTGCTCTGAGTACGAACATACCACCAACGCATCAGTGTGCTTCTCAAGTATCTGCCCTAGAGAAGCTGTTGCCAATGTGTATGAGGACAACAAGGCTGCTTTTGGAAGTACCCTCCTATCAGCAATAAAATTATAATCAACTAAATAACTTTTAGCAGTAGAAAGGATGAATAAGTTATGATGTATTTATTAATGGGTTACTGCTTAGTGTACCATGTACCATGGCTACATATGTCTTATAACGAAATCTCAAAGACGTGTTGCTGAGCAAAACCAGAAAGCTGCAAAGAGTACGTAACACTTGGATTCCACTAATGTGGAGACCCCAAATAGAACAAAGCATTCAATATGCTCTTAAGAAATATGCACTTGTGTCAAAACTAAAGAAGAAGAAGAGAATGATTGACTAAAAAGTCCCAGATAATAGTTACCCGAAATGGGGTGCGCAGGAGGGCGGGGAATGAGTTGAGGGCATGACACTCAGGGGCTTCAAAGGAACTTAAATTTTTTTTTTTTTTTTTTCCTCAAGGTGGGTACATGAGTGCTTGAGGTAGTATTATTTTTTTAATTGTACGTGTATATTTACATACCTTTTGTTATATATACTGTAGGGTGAAAATTTAAAAAATGATACTTTAAAGACACCTAGCTTATTCAACCCAGATATTAATGATATAACCAGGAGAATGAAATTCATTATTTATGTCACTATACTACTTTTCCAACCTGAATCCCAACTTTTGTCTTTCCTTTTTAAGTGGGTCAAGGGTAGGTGCTCTCTGCCCTTAAGCAGAAGAGCACATATACACCCTCTACCCTCCTTCCTACCTTCTCTGGACGCCTATGGTGGGGGTACATATCACCTCTTCCACTCATATCCTCGGTACAACCCAGCCATCTGTAGGATGATCTGTAGTTAAAGATGGTGAGTTCATTGTGAGATTAAGTTAGAAATAGAAAGCTATTAAGCTATAGTTTGTCCTTGCTGAGCATTTGTGAACAGTATTTTCCTATAAACTCTTCATATCTGCTGAACAGATGTCTTATTTCCTGTGTTCTTTTAGGCTGGGAGCCATTTATTGAGCCATGGCCATGCTCTGTATCCTGGCAACAACAGGCAGCAAGTCGTCTCCATCCTCCAAGGCTGAAGCTAGAAGCCAAGGCTAAACCCCGTTTGGATATTAATATCACTTCTGTACTAATTGGTGAGTAGAAATTGGTGGTCTTCAGAAGATTGGTATCTTTCTGTACATGAATTCTTGTCTGGAAGGCTGTTAATCTGGGTTTAGCCACTATTCAGGCCCATGCCAGACATCACTTCTTCACGTTGGCTGCTTTTCCGATGACTCTTTCAGTCCCTTGCTCCAGAGTTGACATTCCATATTAATGCTATCAGGGATCAAGCAAGAGCTGAGGCTGTTTGGGAAGATAGGAGCCCATGGTGAACTTTCTCCTTAACAATGCTTGGTTATTGGGGTTTATTAAGGAGTCTGTCAGTGAGTTTAGATTTACCCCTCTCAAGTTAATCACAGAAAAATTCCTAAAAATTTGGACCTTGTCTTTATTATAGCAGGGTAAGTTTCTTGTGCTGTTTCCCATAAGATACACTGACCCAACTATGGAAATGCCTTGTTAAAGGGTCACCAAGCTAATGGTGTGTCTTTTGAAAGCTTCTGTGACAACACTGAAATGCACATTTCCTAGATTAAATCTAGTGACTTAGTCACTCTCTCCTTGTAAAAGAAGAGTAACATAATCACCCAATCAGGTGGTGTCTACCTTTGCTATTGAAAGCTCATAGTAACTGCTTGAATTATTGATCTATCCAGATCTGATCTGTGGTCAGCTGGATTTCATCCTCCTGAATTTCCTTGGTTTTTAACAGCCTCCTAACTGGCCTCTCTGCCTTCAAACCCTCCCACTTTACTTGGCATACCAAGCTCTTTACAAATTGACCCTTTTTTTTTTTCTTCTTAAATGTTTTATTATGAATTACGTGATAATTTACATGGGAGAACATTAGTTTTACATTCATTCTATCGTATATCGTCTCATTGCCATGGTTACAAGCCCCTCCATGCAATCCTTCCCTGTACCCCCAGGTCTTCAGCACACAGTGCCCCCCACCCCGGATCTAAAGTCTCTAGTTGCTCCATCTCTCCACGTCATCATCTCTGCCTCCATTTCAGGCATCACTGTTTCTCTGGGTAGGGTCCCACTCTCTGCTCTTCTCCCTTGATGGTCCTAGGGACCTCCGCTCCTAGACTGAAAAGTTAATCACTCCCCTCCTTGCTATAAAACATCTACCTTTACATTTCCAACCTTCACAATCAGTCCTGATAACAATTATTCACTGTTGTATCACAAGAGACGCGAAATTGACCCATTTTTATCTCTAGACTTCTTTGGTATGTTCATACCCCACTATGTTGTGCTAAATCCACACCAAACCATTCAGTGTTCTCTGAATGTACCATGGACTTTCATTTCTTGTCTATCCCTCTGCTTGAGAGTGCCACTCCACCCCTGGTGCTGGTGATAAATTCTAAACTCTACTCATTCTTCAAGGGCCCAAAAAATGCTTCCCATCTCTGAAGATTTTTTTGACTTTGGAGTTGTTCCCCTCTCTTCCTGTTCCCCCCATCCTGCCCCACCCCTGAAACGCACTCACAGACTAAATCTCCCCTTGGTGCTCTCCCATTGAATATGATTTATATATTCAGCACCTTTCACAGTGTGACATTGTATTGTAGTGATGGTCATTTTGATAACATTAATCTCCAGGGCAGAAACTTTCTTAAAACCCGGCCGAGTGCTTAGCATGTAGTGAGGCACTCAGTGAATGCTTGTCCTGCTGAATTTCAATGATTTGATATGAACCCATAATCTTTTATACTTTTGTTCTTAATATCTTTGGGGACTTCTTTCTAGACCAGTATATAAGTACCAAAGAATCTTGGATGGCAGATTACTGTAAACAAGACAATGAAGTAGATTCAACCAAATCAGAAGACTGGATGGGCTCTTCAGTGGATCCGCCATGCTTTGGACAAAGTAAGATTTTTCTATGCAAATGTGTAAGGAAATAATTGTTGGTTAATGTTTTACTGAGAAATCTGTCATCATTCATGGAAAATGATCTTCTACGGTTATGTTCCATCTTTGCAAGACACAGTTTTCTGGTATAAGCTACTGAACTTTTAATATGGGCTCTGATTCTGTCTTTGTGGAGAAGAAAGGATGTGCAACGGACAATTCCTCAATTCTTGTCCATTGCATTTAAACAGGTGTCCGTGAGAGTGTGTCAGCGTCAGCCGTTGTTGGGTTTGTGTTTTTCTCAGCAAAACACTGGCTTTCCAGTTGATTTTATTTATTTATTTATTTTGAATGTTTTAGAATTTCTTTTCAGTCTTCTGAATATAGAGCCAGCAGGTTTATATATAGTTTTGTAATGGGAAAAGATGAAGGGATCCCATGGGGAACATTTTTTTAAAAAGGGAGGCCCTGTATTGTTGATAAAGTATAAAGGAATTGAATGCCCAGATCCTTGAAGAAAGAATTGTTTGTTCTCAGTTTTCTTTCTTTGTTTAATGCCTCACCGCTGAGCCCTTGTCCTCAGAGCTGGAAGACTGTGATGGACAACTGCATTGCCCTTAGTTATTCCACAGGCCATTGTCATCCAAATTCATCACAGCCCCTGCTCGGTCCATGAGGTTGCTTTTGGGAGTGTTGGCTGGGCTTCACATAGCTCAAGAATACTTAAATATTTCATCTGGTCCACAAACGTGTCATGGGAAGATGGGTTTTCTCGGTGTATGACATATTTGCACTGGTTCATCTCTCCTCAGGGTGGACTTTCTGTCTGCCTTGTACTTCTAGAAGGGGAGACAAAGACAAGTCAGCTGTGCTTGCACTCAGTTTTCCCAGCTGCTGCTTCTGAGTGTTCAGGTCGTTGCTTTAGGAGCCAGGGCATCTCAGACATCAGCTTCAATTCTGCTGCTCCTCCAGCCTTTCCAACTTGTGTGTCAAGAAAATATTATATAGTTCACCCAGAAGGCTCTAAATAATCTTTGTAATATGTAATGTGTCTATGAAAGTGTGGTCCTAAAAAACATTGTTCAGACAGAGGGATCTTAAATCCAGTCAGTGGACACACTAAGAAGACTTCTGCGGGATTCTGATGAAGACCTTTCCTTTTTTCCTCCTTTTTTTTTTTTGTTCTTCTACTTCTTTTTTAAAATGATCTTTTTCTCTTGTTAATGAGCTGCCTTATTATATGCTAAGTGCCAGTGTTAAGTTAAAGCTTAATTTTTTCTTCAGTTATAAACATGTAATGTATCTTTTTAAAATGAGATGTAACTGAATATACCTAAATATCCAAACTGCTTTTCTTATCGGAAAATCCTGGGTGGTAGTTTTGTTTTGTTTTGAAAGTCAGTAGGTTTGAACCTTGGTGAACTAGTCACCCACTGTTAGGGTCTTACTCAAGACCGTATACCCCACATCCCATAAAAGTTGTGCTTTTTTATTTTAGACCAGATTTAGCTGTGAACCCTCGGGATAGAAATTCTTAATATGAATTCAGCCTTAGGGAGCAGCTGATTTCTTACTGTTTCTTAAGCAGGGGAAAGAAACTGTGGGCCTCATTTCTGAGATAATTGTTAGCCTTGTTCAGTCAGGGCTGAGATTCCACAGGTGAACTCGGATGGCATGGCACCTTACTGAATTTGTTAGTTGTAGATTCCCAGAAAACTTTATAAAACTCTCAAATGGAAATATTCTAAAGCCTTCCATTCTTAAAGCTGAAACCAGGCTATGTGATAAAGCCTTACTGGTCTTCTTACAGATTGTTTCTGTTTGGAGCACACTGACTCTCTGCTCTGCTCTGGTTCTTTTGAGCCCTGGAGGATTAGCATTTTGCTGCTTGCCGTTTCCAGTTTTGAATGGAGCCATCCCCACTAAATCTTATTTAAAAAGATACCTGCTTCAAATGAAAAAATCCTCTGAAGGCTTTTTACTCTTTTTAAGAGAATGTTGTGAATACAGTTTCTTCTCCCAAATTGGAAACAAAGAGAGCCTGCTCCTTGGACCCAGCCTCCAGCAGAAAGGCTAGCAGAAAAGCTGCCTTCTTCACTTCGTCAAGTACACTTTTAGCTGTTACTAATCACTGAAGGCAGTGAGCCTATCTAACTGCATGATGCTTGCGTAGTTTGATAATGTGCTCTATTTGTGCTTATGTTTTGGAGGTGAGTCTTCTTATTCACTACATTTATTCTTACCCTCTAACCTTCTCTCTCCTGTCTACCAGGCCTTCCCCTTGTCTACCTTAGAACTAGGAGTACAGCCAGTCTGACTAACCTAGAGCACCAGATCTATGCTAGAGGTACAGTACAGCCAACGTGAGGGCTTGCTTAATTTTCCTGTGTTAAGAACTGCTTTGTACACGGATTTTCTGTGAATGGGAGCTGAATGGGGTCCATCCAGTTGTGAGTGCTTTGCTTTGTTGTTGGTGGTATGTGCCATGGAGTTGGATCTGACTCATAGCGACCCTATGTAGAGTTTCCAAGGAGTGGCTGGTGAGTTTGAACCACCAACTTCTTGATTCAAACTGACCTTGCAGTCCAGCCTTTAACCCACAGTACCATTTCCAACCATTGAAGAGAGTGGCACCTTATATCAGAAGTAAGTGATGTGCCTTTTCTTATGGTATTGCTCTTCCATTATCTCTTAACCTTCGATGGAACCAGAATAAGCTCCACAGAGTCTGATGTAAAAATATCCAGTGTCAGTTGGACGTATTTCCCTTTGTTGAAGAGCAAGTCCATGGAAGAGAAAAAAATGGTCTCCATCTAACAGTGATGCAAGTCTATGATTACAGGATACAAGGGGGCTTCAAAAAGTTCATGGAAAAATCCCATTCTTTTTTAACTTTCATCTTTCCATGAACAATTTGAAGCTTCCTTTTATATTTATTTTTATAATACACTACAAGGAATTTTATGTAGTAAGAGCTATAATGACCAAAAATAGAGCTAAGAAAACATTTTTTTGGTTAATAATTGCTTAGGCACAAACCTTTCTTTAGAACTGAGTGTGGTGCTTAAGAGATAGGAAGGAAAATGTTCTTAAATTCTCTCTCTGACCCATTATGATTCCTTAAAACTATGATTGATAAGTCAGTGTGGTAGAGAATACCTTGAACATCAGGGCATTGGAATCCCAACACAGAATCTCTTCATTTGTTTTAAGAAACACGATTTAACTTGAAAGATTTATCTTGGTACTTGGCTGCCACCAGATCCTAGGTCATGATATATTTTATTTTTAAAAGGCCATTTGACCTTCATCTATGAAGAGTACAGAACAGAGGAAGTTGGACATAGGGGTAGTGAGTGCTATAGGCTTTTTTAAAGTTTGTTTTTTTTTCTTTCCTGGACGGTGTTAGCAGGGTGGGTGTTTGAAGGATGACTCACATAGAAAGCCCATGATTGAGTGAATCTTCATTTATTCATGAATTGATACTTCTCAGTTTATCTATGTCTGTTACTTGGTCTTTCAGGCTAAGCAAAGCATTATTCCTGTTTAACTGGTCAGGATAGAGAGACTTGAGTAATTTGCCTTCATTCACGTGACCAGCTAGTGGCAAACCTGTGACATTCATCTGTTTCATATGACTAACAAACGAGGTCCTTTCTGATGAGACTGAGCTGTTTCTGTAGCAGGAAAACGTACACTGTTTTTAATGGGCAAATTCCCTTGTAAAACAAGCCTGGAAGGTGTGAAATGTCCTCAACTGCAGGCACTTGAAGCTGAATTTGGACGTGAGGAATGTATGTTCTTTGAGCCCATGGAAAAATGAGGGTTGGTCTCTAGAGGCAGATTTTCTAAGGCCACCAGGGAATGCAGTTCTCCTTGATGGATTTGGGTGTATCTGTCTCTGTGCTGGTGTAGGAGTTGTCAGGTTGTCCATTGATGTTGGGTCTGGATTTGTGTGCAGTTTGGTGGGTGTTTTTTAATCCTTGGAGAAGTGGGTTAATGAAGTCTGGGCTTGGGGACCAGGGCGGTATGCATGCCATGCCCATGCTAGTTCATTGCAAAGCAGTGGCCCTGTGAGTATCTTTATGTGGATCCCTACCCTTGATGCTGTAGTACACCCTAATGAAAGCCACTTGCCACTTGTTTTAAAATCTAATTTGCAAATGGAAACGTACAGTCTTGTTCACCGTGGGGTATGAAAGCACATCTGGCTTCTTTTCCTCCTGGGTCCTTTATCTGCTCTTCTAAAAGCAGCTTTCTCACTGCACTCATCTAGTGGGAGGTGCCTTTCAAAGTGCCCCAGTAAATGCTGTTTACCCTTCAGACAGCTCTTAAATGTTGGACTCCCGCTCTGCTCTTGTCAGCAGCCTCACAGCTACTCCTGAATTTTCTACTGGAGGAGCACTTTGTTTTCAGGCGAACCTTGGGAACTAAGTGAGGCTCAGGTAGTGAGAAATCTGCATCTTCTGGGTGAAGATAATCTCACAGCAGTATTTGGGGTGTCGCTGCACAACTGACAGCAGAGTACTAGGGTATCCCTGCAGACTGCTCGGCTATTTCTCACCTAACGGCTTCTCAGACTCCCCAGAGCCGTGGTTGCTGTTCAAGTTGAACTCACCTTGTTAACCCGAAACTGCTGTGTTTTGCAGTGCTTGTAGCGCTAACTCCTGAAAATGTTTGACAGGGTAAAATGGGAGATGAAAATGATTGCTTGTTATAGGGTGGCGGTAGCCGCCTTCTGGGGTTCTGCTGAGCCAGCTGTGTGTGCTGCCATTTGCTCTCTGGATTGTTGGTCGGCAGCATCTGGCCTTATGAGGTGAATTTAATTTTCCTACGGTGTTCTCAAGGAGCTCTGTTAGCGTAGTGGTTACCCATTGGGTTGCGAACCTCAGAATCTCAAGGTCAGCAGTTCAAAACTACCAGCTGTTCCTCTTGAGAAAGATGAGGCATTCTGCTCCCATAAAGATTTACAGCCTTGGAAACCCTGTTACAGGGTCGCTGTGAGACGGAATCGACTCCACGGCACACCACCACCACCACCACCACCACCACCACAGTGTTCTCAGTCAGTGCTTGCTGTCACCTCGCGATGTCATTTTCCCCACAGCTGCAGACTGTTAGGGTCCTGGTCTTGCTCAGGCTCTTTTTGTGCTTTAAAAAAAAAAAAAGACGAAAACCAACCAGAGCCAGTGCCTTTGATGCCAACTCATGGCGACCTTACAGGAGAGCTGAATCTTTACAGAAGCAGACTGCCACCCATTTCTCCCACAGGGTGACTGATGGGTTCAAACTACCAGCTTTATCCACGGTCCCACTCAGGCTCCTTTGTGCTTTTTGTGGGTGTGTGCATGTGGTGTGAGCATGCTCTCAGGAGGCCTCCCTGCCCTGACGGTGGAGGAGAGGCCAGCCCTGAGTAAGGGAAGCAGGTCTTCTCTTCTCATGGCCCAGTGATTCTCTGTCCCCAGCCAGACCGCACCACACCACACGGCCAGTGATGCCAACAGGAGGCTCCGCGGCAGCCTTCTGCCTTCCTGGCCTCGCACCACTCTGATTTCTTACAGTGTCTCTAGATAGGCCAACACCAGAAGAAATCTTGCTTTCCAGTTTTCCCATTTAGAAGCTCTTTTGTGAAGACATGCTTTTATGTTCCTTTTTACGTGGCCTCTGTGGTACTTACCGTAACATGGGTGGTCTGTAAAAATGAACTAAATTTTCATTTCAGAGGTTTTGGGATTGCATAGCTCTGATTTTTCAGGAAGAAAGAAACAACTACTACTAGGGAATAGGAAAGCATATTTTTATTTTGCTGTATATTCCAAACGAGTTTATGTGCTTCATGTGATTAGAGGGAGGTGTCCTTCAAGTAAGGCTTTGGGGACCAGTTTGAATAAGCATGCATGGTATTCCAAACGAGTTTATGTGCTTCATGTGATTAGAGGGAGGCGTCCTTCAAGTAAGGCTTTGGGGACCAGTTTGAATAAGCATGCATGGTAGAGCTTGCCATCATTTGATTCACCTATCTAGAATGGACTTTTTGGGTATAGTATTGGAGAACAGGTAGCGTAGTGGTTACGAATCGGGCTGCCAACCTTAAGGTCAGCGGTTCGAAACTACCAGCTGCTCCGCGGGAGAAAGATGAGGCATTCTACTCCCGTAAAGATTTACACCCTCGGAAACCCTGTGCAGGGTCGCTATGGGTCGGAACCGACTCGACGGCACATAACAACAACAACAACATTGGAGAACAGAATCTTTCTTGTGTTTTCCATTACTGTTTCTTTCATGTTTCCAGCCAAGCTAGGTCCTCATACCTCTTCTGGAGGCTAAGGCTCATGAGAGGTGTGGGAGTATCTGGGACTGGCAGAGGTGGGACCAAGTCAGGCCTGTTGTTGTTAGTGCCATCGAGTCAGTTCTGACTCATAGCTATGCTCTATAGGAGCAGATGGTGAGTTTGAACCTCCGATCTTACAGTTAGCAGTCCAGTACTTATCCTATAGCGTCAAGCCAGGACTCCAGGTCATTGCCTCTTATTGTTGTTGTTGTTGTTGTTAAGCGTCTTAGCAGGTAGTAACTACGTGGAGCTTCCATCTGTCCTATCCACACACCTGGGGCAGTTTCTTCTGCCCACCAGCTTCAGCACAGAGGCCATTTTGGGCAGTGTCTCCAGGGATGGGGGAGGATTTTTGCCACTTGGATACAAGTGTGTGCTGATAGCCTTCTTTTATTTGTCCCCAGCAGAAGTGAAAACCCCCAAGCGGCGGCAGCCCTTTGTTCCTTTTGCTCTCAGGAATCACACAGGGTGCACTTTGTGGTTTGCTACCCTGACCACCACGCCCACCAGGTAAGGAGCACCCAGCCTGTCACTGAGCCATTTCTGCCACTAAAGCCTTCTGCGTCCCAGCCCAGCAGAGCAAGGGTTGTATCTGAATCAATAATTACTGTGTTGCTAGGATTTGAGGCGCATATTCTGGTTCTATGTAGAATCTAATGTCAGAGAAAAGCATTTTAAGTTTGAAGTATCCAGATTAGGATTTTAATCCTGTTAGTTGTTAAGTGGAATTGGTGGAGTGTAGAGAACAAATGGAAGTTTACCTAAGCCAAGTGAGAACCTCTCTAGTAACTTTCTGCCTGCTTACATCTTGGCTCAGCTTTCCAAATACATACTGATTATTCCAGATTAATTAATGCAGTATTAGAAATAGGTAACAGAATCCACTGGTTTGAAAACATGTTTCTCCTGTAGCCACTAAGTGTAATAATGTTCTGAAGGTACAGAATTGTTTGTTTTAATATATCGTCGTTGTTGTTGTTAACTGTTTTTGAGTTGGTTCCTACTCATAGTGACCCTGTATAAGGTTTCTGAGGAATGGCTGCTGGGTTCGAACCACTGAACTTATGGTTAGAAGTCCAGTGCTATACTACAGTGCCACACAATGTTGGTTTTTTTTTTTTTTTTAAAGAACGAAACCTGTTGCCATGAAATCAGTTCTGCCCCATAAGATTTCTAAGGCAGTAATCTTTACAGAAACAGACTACCACATCTTTCTCTTGTGGAGCGGGTGGTAGGTTTGAACCATTAACCTTTCAGCAGCCAAACTCTTAGCCACTGTGCCACCATGGGCCCTACACTTAGTTTATGTCAGTAAAATTTTGCATAGTAACGTGATGCTACTTTAAAAAAAAAAAAATGCATGTGTTTACATAGCACCCCGTGTCCCAAACTCTACTGCTGTTGATGGTGAGTGATTTTGTAATGGTAGCTTTCAGCAGTACCTGCAGTTTCTGCTAAGTTGTAAGTGGCTATGAAGGTAGATTTAGGTCCTAACCTTTGTAGCCAGAGTATGTAACTTACCTGCTATTGCAGGAAGGGTTCGACTTCCAACTCAGAGGTCTCTGTGAGAGAGTCAGGGAGCAAAAAGGAGCCAACCCCATTTGATTTGTCTCCAGAGCAGCACTTTCTCACAGTGGGAGTCCAGGGCTAATTCCAGAAGAGGATGGAACGTTCCTTGGTGATGGCCACAATGTTAGTGAATGGCAAGAAGTACTCACGGGTGAAGAGATTCCCTTTGAATTTGAAGCAAGAGGAAAGTTGAGACACAGGTAAAACACGGTTTATTCTTTTCCTTAAAAACGAACAAACACAAAAATAGAGAGAGAATAGGATTCATATAGCCAAAATGTGGAAACAACCCAAGTGTCCATCAACAGATGAATGGATAAACAAAATGTGGTTCATACAAACAATGGAATATTATTCAGCTACGAAGAGGATTGAAGTTCTGAGGTGTGCTGGACTTTCAAAACATTATGCTAAGTGAAATAAGGCAGACATTAAAGGACAAACATTCTATGATTCTGTTTATATGAGGTCTCTAGAATAGGCAGAGTCATAGAGACAGGAACTAGATTCCTGGTTCCCAAGGACTGGGTAAGGTAGAGGAGTACACAGGGGCTTGTTACTTAACAGACAAGAGATTTTCTATTTGGGGTGATTAAAACATTTTGGAAATAGATAGTAGTGATGACTGCACAGTATTGTAAATGTAATTAAAATGGCAAAATTTATATGTGTATTTGTGTTAAACAATCTCTACCTTTCTACCTTTCCTAATTAATGTTTTCTTTTTTAAGAAATTTTTTAAAATTAGTGTTTCCTTTATTAAAACGTAAAGATTGCCTTGCTAAATTTGAAGTACATTTCTTTGCATTAATTTTCCCTTTACTTGGCATGCAAGGTGATCCCTGTGTGTTTCACATGATTTGGTTGAAGCCTAGACAGGTTGTAATTCTCAAGTTCATCCCATCCTGGCCTGGTGTTCATGATACAGTGGCGCCATGTAGTCTTCACAGGCCCCTAAGGCTTGTTGAGTTCAGCATTGATGGATCCATGGTACCTAGCAGGCAGTTTCAGGAAAGGTAGCCATTAATTGATAAGATGTACTGATTCAAGAAGGAGAACTCTGGTAGTGTAGAGGGTTACGTGTTGGCCTGCTAATCACAAGGTTAGCAGTTCAAAGCCACCAGCCGCTTCATTGGAGAAAGATGAGGCTTTCTATTCCCGTTTAGATTTATAACCTTGGAAACCTTGTAAGGATCTCTGTGGGTCAGAACCAACTTGATGGCACACATCAGAAGAGCCATTCCTTTCGGGAGACTGTTAGCTGGTGAACTCTTAAAATAGCCAGCGGACTGGAATAAACGAGAAAGTTACGTCTGATTACTCAGAGATTATAAAATGTCTAATAAAGTGTCCTGTTATTTGTAAACATTTTAAAACAGAGGGACCACCCACTGGATAGTGGCTGCACACTGGACACCTTGTCATTGAGTCGGTTCCGACTCATAGTGCCCCTTTAGGAGAGAGTAGAACTTGGCCATTGTGTTTCTAAGATAAACACATCTTTCTCCTGTGGAGTGGTTGGTGGGTTCAAACTGTTGACCTCTTGGTTAGCTGCTGCTTAACCACTAAGCCGCTAGGGCTCCTTTCATGACTAGGTTAAGATTGCAGTGTTTAACTCAGAGTGCATTAAGTCCTCATGTGCAACCCTGGTCCCTAGTCAGATGCTTCTTCCTATTGTACACACTGTTCTTAGTGGCAAGAATATTAAAACAGGGGATTCACAAACCCCAGGGGTTTTGCAGAGAGGAAAAAAAACAACAACCCTGCAGTTGACACAAAACCCGCTGTACCTAGGGTCCACATTACCAAAGTTTCCAGAGTTGGTGAGCATTTTCGTGTTTTTTTTAATCAAAGGTCTTGGAGACATAACTCTAGAAAAGTTAACAGTGTTTCATAATAAGCCGATTTCTGCTGTTTCTGAAAGGGACTGACCTCTCGTCACTTCTGTATTTTAGTTGCCTTGTTTTGTAACCCATTTCTTGCTTCACTGTTCTGCTTGAATGCACAGAATGTCTTCTCTGGCTTTCTTTCCTCCCTCTGGTGCACTGGACCCCTCTCCCTGTCAGCCAGAAATCCAGTTCCTCATTTCCGGTTTCTGGCTTGAATTAGGCACAATCTGAACTAGAATGAAATGTGCAGTTTCCTCCTGTCCTTCTGTCCCCATTATGGCTGAGCACCTCACCCCTAAAACTCCGAGGCCTCTGTCTCATATAACCTGTCTGCAGTCAGGTGGGGCTGAAGCCAAACAGCTTCATGTGTTTCTGAGAGAAGTGAGCTATTCAACAAAGCAACCAAGGAGAAATTGTTGTTTTATGCATTTCCAAGGGTGTGGTTATATGATTAAATTGCCAACCCAGCATTTTTACTACCCCATTGAAATGATTTTAGCTGATGTCATTATTTTATAGGACTTGGTATGGAGCTGGTGGGGGAGAGACATGAACTAGCGACAAGATTTGCATGGTTTTTGCATTGGGAGGGTAGATGCCCCTGCAGTCTTGCTTAAACGCTATCAATCTTTTCATCTGTGTTGTAAGTTGCAAAACCCAGTTAAAAGTATTCTCTTGATTTCCTTTGCATTAAGTAATCACCTAAAGGTTTAGCCAACTGGGTTTCTATGTTATAGATGGTCAATCAGATTGGAGACTTTGTGCCTTTCTTCCTTTGAGGGTGGGCTTCATGTCGCTTTCTATGTTTCACCTGTCAGACACACCCATGACCTCCGGATTCATCAACTGCAAGTGAGAGTAAATGGCTGGGAGCAAGTGAGCCCCGTGTCTGTGGACAAAGTTGGGACCTTCTTCCGATATGCAGCACCAGATAAGAATTCGTCTTGTTCTACGGTGTGTGACTGTGGAGGGGGTATTTAATGATGCCATTGTGCTGTGGCCACAGCCCCTAATCCAGTCCATGAAATCAGTAAACCTTTGATAGGCTTGCTCTAGTGCAGTGTTCTTGTTCTTTATTCCCCCTTGTTGTTGTTGTTGTTAAGTGCCGGTCGAGTCGGGTCCGACCCATAGCCACCCTGTATTGGGTTTCTAAGGCATGACTGGTGAGTGTGAACTTCCAACCTTGAGGTTCAAACTGACTTTGCAGTCCAGCGCATTCACCCACCGTGCGCCACACCAGGATCTAGATTAAGAGCCTGGGTGACTTAGTGTTTAAGCACACGACTATCAACCAAAAGGTCAGTGGTTTGAACCCACCAGCCACTCTGTGGCAGAAAGGTGTGGAAGTCAGCTTCTGCAATGATTACAGTCTAGGAAACCCTATGGGGAAGTTCTTCTCTGACCTGTAAGGTCACTGTGAGTCGGAACCTACTCGATGGCCATGGGTAGACTTAAGATTATTTCAGTTCAGTTTTAGGCATTGGCAAATCAATGTGGAGTTAAGCCAGACAGCGGTTAATTTCAGTAGAAATACAAGGTTTAAACTGGTCTCACCTGTGCAGACCCATCATGAAGCGCTGGCCTGCCAAGCATGTTTGGCTTTATTTCACATACCATTCATTGTTCTTCCTGTATGCACTGTCTCCTTTACATTTCATACAGTGCAACTTCTTGGTCCTTCTCAGTGATACAAAGACAGATGGTCCCTGTCACTTCTTTTCTGATCACACATACTCTCACACACTCTTTTATCCTAGGGGTTTGAGGACCAGCCTGCGGAATGGCACATATAGTGCTCTTGTCTGGTGTGTGACCTGCAGGATGGTATCCTGACTGATAAAGCCCTTGTTCTCATTCATACTTCATAGGATAATTGCATTCTATTTTGGGTAGCCAGTAGCACATAAGCAAAGGAAAATTTGCCAGAGACACCATTTGCTTTCTTCATGAGAAATATTCTTGGAAAACACTAAACACTATTCTCTAAAGGTTTATTTCCATTTCCATTGTTCCTCTCCAGCTTCTTGGGGGAGAAAAAAAAATGCTTTTTTTCTCTGTTACTTTTCTGACCCAAATTCATGGCTGTCAATGAAAGGACTGATTTTCCCCATAGATAAGTTTCTAGTAGATTGAAGTTTTGAATGTACTGGGTGGTTATAAAATGAATACCATTTTGCTTTTCACATATCTTCAAAGATCAAATGATTTCTCTTCATCACAGACCATGTTTTACCAGGGAGTGTTTGCAAATAGCACACTTTCAAGCAGTTAACGTCATTTAATTTAGGGCTGTGCTGACTCTCTGAATTTTGGCATCTATTTTAGATTGGCAGTCCAAGCAGCAGAACCAACATTATACATCCCCAGGTTTATGTGAGTATGGTGTTCTGTTTCGTTTATTTTACTCGAGTTTGTGTACTATACTGGTACCACGTACCGTCCTTCCTTCCTTCTGGTGGTAAATATCCTTATAACACTTGTCCTTTGGATGTATATTTCTTGATGATCAGAAGACTTTATGACATACGTTGTTGTTGTTAAGTGCCGTTGAGTCAGTTGTGACCCAGAGCAACCCTATATAGGGTTTCCAAGGAATGGCTAGTGAGCTTGAACCGCTGATCTTGCAGTTCAAACCGACCTTGCAGCCCAGAGCATTAACCCACAGTGCCACACCATATGCGATTGGAATTTATCTCTGTCCTATTTGTTGAGTGATTACCTTCCTTTTATAGGAACTTGCAAAAGAGTGTTTTTACCTAAGTTTTGGTATGTGAAAACTGAGTGTTTCAGGAAACATGAAGAAAAGGCAAATGTTGCCATCCAAGGTCTCCTTTTCAGTTCTAAGTTCAGGTATAAATTAACCCCTACATGGCCATAATCATTTTGTAAGTTTGGGCCCATAGATCATAAAAGTGGATAATAATGACAAATAAGATTTTTTTACCCTCTGATTTGACTTTTGAGAAAACCGTCATATAATGAGATTTTTTAAAACCCAAAAAACAGCAGCAACTTTATTTCAGGTCTCGGCTTATAACTGTCCCTGAGGATAGTAGGTTTCAAAGTGTGAAATGTCATGGAGGCCTGGAGGCAATGATCCTAAGATTTAAAGTCATTGGTATTGGGCCTGGGCTATACTGGAGTTTCATTACATTGGCTCAGCCGACACTGGAACTTTGGTGATAATCGTGCCCAACATGGAGTCCCTCTGCAACACTCCTCCAGAGTGTTGTTATTTGTCCCCAAGTCAGCAGAATGAAACGCTTGGGTATGGTGTCATTTGTTTTCCAGGACAAAAGCACTGTCAGCATGTTCTGGAGACACTCATTCTAAGAATAATCATTTTATTATTTCTTCTCTTTGAGGTACCTAATGTAGAATTGTACACTTTTTTTTTTTTTTTTTTCCTGGCACATTGCAGTGGCCCAAAATGTGTGCTTTGAGTGTGTGAATGAAATGAACATATGGAAAGAAGAAAGTTGTGGCTGCAACTCAAAACCAAAATTAAATAATTTCCCTCTGTTATATTGGGTTTCTTAGCCATGGTGTCCTGTGTAGAAGAGTGATTATTGAACAGAACTTAGAACGTTATTGTGAAGAAAGAGAAGCTGGTTTTTAAAGGTCTTTGAAATGCACTTGTTGGTTTCTCTATAGGCATGTCATCTAATAGTATCTGGATCTAGAGACTGAATTTTTATGACATTTATGGAGAGTGGGGGGGGGGGAGGTATTTGTTCCTGTGAAGAGTACATATAGAGAACTCTTTATAATACATTCTCTAGATTTTGCAAGTGTTAGTCCCCAAAGACTTCCTTCTGTTTTTCTGTTTCTTTATGGTCAGTATCCAACCCATTATTAGTGTGCATAAGTGTTTTCTCACTTTAGTGTTAATCTGGGAGAAGAATTCCAAGAAGATAAATCATTGGATGTTTTATAAAATCCTGCCTAAATGTTTCTGATCTTTTAGTTGCTTTGAGGGGTCTTCACTATTTTCTCCTGCAGTAGAGTTTCTGAAAAGAAATCCTGTACACAGTTTCTATATAAGGGCTTACAGAGGAGCCCAAGGGCACTAGGGATGAAGGTGAACCTCCTGCAGATGCTTCATTACTAAATTGCAGGAAGTTTAGAAACACGGGTAGATTAATATCACACCACAATTGTAGGTGAAATTCTTTATAATGTGTCTAGAGACTCAGGACTATTTTTCTTTGTGATACACTTTGTGCTATCACATCTGACTAGTTTTTTTTTTTAATGGAAAGGTTTAAGATTGGCTATTTTTAATAATGTATGTGTATAGGCTGTTTGGAGTCCTGGTATAACGTTGTGGGCTATTGCACTGGACTGCAAAGTCACGTGAACTGCAATGTTGGTGATTCAGTTCTATCGGTTGCGCCTCAGAAACTCTATACAGGGTTGCTATGGGTTGGACCCAACTCAGCAGCACTTAACAACATCATGGGCTGCTTGGAGTCCGGGTGTGGCACTGTAGGATAAGCACTGAACTGCTAACCACTAGGTCAGTGGTTTAAGCCTACAAGCTGCTCCTCAGAAACACTGTACAGGGACAGTGTGAGTCAGAACTGACTCAGTGGCACTTAAGAGCAACTACAATATAGGCTCTTTACTCCCATGAAAGCTGAGCTATTTCTAGCTTGAATGGCCATAATTCTACAAGAGGGCTATCGGAAATAATAAGGTGCCTTACATTTCAGGTATTTTGGTTGGTAGTGATGTATTTTGGGTGATTTAAATTTTTTTCTCCAAAAAAACTGTGTTCCTATTTTTTTTTTCTCTTTTCCTTAGTTCTCATCTCTCCCACCTGTTCGGGTGGTCTTTGCAGTGACTATGGAAGGCAGTGCTCGGAAAGTGATCACTGTTCGTTCAGCCCTCATTGTAAGGAACAGACTCGAGACACCGATGGAACTAAGGCTGGACAGCCCCTCCGCTCCTGACAGTGAGTTCTGACGGTCTAGACTCTGCCTGATAAGCATTTGCAGACGGTTGTTGGGACCCTTGTTCCCACACGGGTACCTTCCCAGCAGTCATCTGTCTTCCCGTGATTCCCAGTGCAGGGGTCTCTGGGGTGGAGAGCCAGTGTCTCAGGGTGCTGACACTTCTTTCCGTCGCAGAGCCAGTGGTGCTTCCAGCCATCATGCCAGGGGATGCTTTTGCTGTGCCGTTACACCTCACTTCTTGGAGGCTACAGGCTCGGCCCAAAGGATTTGGTGTTTTCTTCTGTAAGGCTCCCATTCATTGGACCAATGTAGTGAAGGCCACGGAGGTCAGTAGCAGCAAACGAGAATGCCACTGTGTGGACACGGAAAAAAGCAGATTCTTCAGGTATGCACGAACATTGCTGTGGCACGTAAAGACTGCCCGCCTCACCATTTCTTCAGGTTGGCTGTATTAGCATGCTTACTAAAATAGCCTGTAGTATTCAATAAGGCTTTTTAAAACCCTAAAATTCTTAGTCCTAATGTTCCAGTGTTAAGAGTTCATAAGATTGCGTGTAGAAATTGTTGAATTGGTGAACATTTTGTGTGTGTTTTTCACCATAATAAAAATGTAAACAACAACAAAAAAAGTTCACATGAACTCAAGGGTTAACCTAGAGCTAGGGGTGGGGAGGTTGCTAATTACCTAATATTTCTGGAGAGAGAAACACTATTCAGACATACAAGACTAGAAACATGCGTGCATGCATGAGAATAACGAGAGGACATACGTGGTGTAGAAAAACAGCAGCAGTAAAATAACCAGTTCCTTTTCCTAAAGTGGGAATGAAATTCTAAGCTTGGGAGCTTTATGGAGAGATTTCACAGGCATTTGGATGAAGATTCATGCACCTAGTACTAACTTCCTTGGGGACTGTGACTGAATTATTTAACCATTCCCCAGAACCAAACCCACTGCTGTTGAATTGATTCTAACTTACTGCAATCCGGTAGGATAGAGTAGAAATTTTTCCAGCGCTGTATAATTTTTACAGAAGAAAATGAATAGACAAGCCACAGAATGATTTAAAAAAAAAACACATCATTTTTGTGGAATAAATGAAGGATTACTAAAAATCAACAGTAAAAAGATAAACAACCGAATAAAAAGATGAGGCAAAAGACTTGAATTGACAGTTTACAGAGGAAGGTACACAAATGCCTGCAGAACACAGGGAAAGATGCTCAGCATCATTATTAGGGAAATGGAAATCAGAACCACAGGGAGCAGTCTTTTATTCTCACTAAAATGGCTAAAATAAAAAAGACTGACAACATCACATATGGACATGGGTGCAGAGCAACTGGAGCTCTTATATATATAACTGGTGCGAGTGTCAAAACTTTACATTAAGCCAAAGAAGCCAGACACAAAGAATTGTACATACTGCATGTTCCATTTATTTGCAGTTCAAGAACAGGAAAAACTCACCTGTCGTGATAATACTAGAAAGCGGTTGCCTGAACGATGCGAGGGATTATAGATCGGAAAGGGACATGAGGGAACTTTCTTGGGCAAATGAAATACTCTATTGTTTGTTTGCATGGTGGTTATATAGGGGTATATATAATTGCTCTACCTGAAACTGAACATTGTAAATGCTACATATTGTGCATTATGCCTCAATGAATGCATTTGGAGTAAAAATACAAATATCTTCCTGAATTATTGAATCATTTTGATATACTTTCTCATACACATCTGAGGAGAACAAAATGCAAATTATTCAGTCAAGCTGATGGTTTTTCACACCATTTTGTCTTTCTTTATAGGTTCTGTGTGGCTATAAAGAAAGAGAATTATCCAGATTACATGCCCTCAAACATATTTTCTGACAGTGCAAAACAGATTTTCAGACAACCCGGGCATACCATTTACCTCCTGCCAACTGTGGTAATCTGCAACTTGCTGCCTTGTGAACTTGATTTTTATGTTAAAGGAATGCCAATTAATGGGACGCTGAAACCTGGCAAAGAGGCAGCTCTGCACACAGCTGATACATCCCAGAACATTGAACTGGGTAAGGCAGTAGTCAAGTACTTGTTTATACTAATTTTATGAAAATGAGCATTTCGTAATTCTTTTTTTATTTTTTTAAAGGATGTATTTGGAAGCTAACTATTGGTATACAATAATTTGGTGGATCATTTCATATTTAAGTTCTTTTCTACGGTCAGGTTTGAAATATATTAATTTTTTTTTTCCCCAAGTCTTTTTTTTTTTTTTAATGTTTTATTGTGTATTGAGTGATAGTTTACATGGGGGAACATTAGTTTTACATTCATTCTATCCTATATCGTTTCATTGCCTTAGTTATCCTCCCGTCCATGCATCATCCCCCAACAAAAGGGGGGATGTCGTCGCCTCCCCCCCCCCCCCACACACACACACACACAGTCCTCAGCACCCAGCCCCTTTCCCTCTCTGGGTCTCAACTCCGCAGGCACTCCATCTCTTCACGTTGTCCTCTCTGTCTTCATCTCAGGCCTCACTGCTTCTCTGGGTGGGGTCCCTCTCTCCATTCTTCTCCGTTGACGGTCCCAGGGCCCTCCGCTGTTAGACTGAAAGGTTAGTCACTCCCCTCCTTGCTATAAAATATCCACCTTTACATTTCCAGTCCTCACAATCAGTCCTGGTAACAATTTTCACCATTGCATCACATGAGACCCGTCTGCATTTCTTTTCATCAGCCCTTCCCAGACAGGTTGGGTACTATTCACTGGAGACTCCACTA